TACTCCACGCGACTCGTTGTGATGCATTAGCTCCTGGCCCGTAGTTCTTAAATTCCCCATAATAAAGAGTTTTCAAAGCAAAATCACCTCTCCAAGGCATCCATCCTTCTGGTTTAATGAGATCCTCCAAAGTACAGTGCATAAAAACCGTTCTCGAGTATTCCTTCCATGGCCTACCGAGGAAATTCTTATGCACACTAGGCTTCCTATAATACAGAGCCATGTATGCTTCAGTTCCGTTGATTATACAATTTTGAAACACGAAACCTGTAAATTGGGCAGGGTCAATTCTACCATGAGCTGTCACAGCATTGTTCTCGCCCTTTTCTGGCTTGATTTGCCGAGGGGCAACTAGGATGAAGCAGTCCTGGAAAAATGCAGCTGAGTTTCCGAATATGAAGTCTACGTTTCCTTGGATGCGACACGACTTGTAGTACTGGCGTAGGCTGTGGGCATATAGTGTGTCTTGATTGCCAAGAAATTCGCAGTTTTCTATAACGGAAAGATCACTATCTAGCCGGAAGGCTACTGCTTGATGAGCACCAGGTCCAGCCGTGTTCTGGATAGTGAGACCACTCGCCATAAATCCATCACCAGCGACTCCTGTAGAAGGACTCAAAGTATTAGAACAAATAATGAATTTTGGCACTCATTTGGGATTATATCATTGCCTATATCTATACAAATTGCAGATCAGATCATGTCATATAATTCCTTAGGCCAACGTGAAAAGCAATGCAGGCACAGCAATACCTTCCCATCAATTCTCCCTCCCTGTTTTCCCCCAAACCCCCATTTACTAGCCCGGAAAAGCATCACGCGAACTCACTTCATGCCTCCATTTACTGGCAATCGAGACGCAGGGAAAATTCTGTTGTAATAGATCTGTCTACAATGCCAAACTACTCTTTCAGCATTACAACTTTTACAAGATGTATAGAACATCATCATTTACACGATATAGAGATTTCTACTAAAACGATTATAATTCATTCTAAAATAAGAAATTAGGATTCGAACCCCAGCATTACTCTCTAACTGTACCATTTCTTTCATATGCTAGTATCAAAAACATAGCTTTTATCACCGTCTAATTAAACAACTTGATCACAGACCATTCTGTTCCACTATTCCGCCATCATTAATCGAATTCTAGACATAGTCAAACGCATTTATACAAGTTAAATCACAATGCTTCAACAAGCATATTGAACAATTCATGTGGCCGAGACTTTAGAGCCCTCTTAGCCCAGTCATACCGCAATTTTTGTATACGCATTTTACATACGCAATTCATAACCCATCATTTGAGTACAAGAACGGTTATGCAAAAGGCGAGAAAAACTCCGGCTGTCTCTCTTTCCCTTTTCTTGCACCCCCTCCAACGTACGAACTAAATGGGTGACATTTGGCATAAAAAGGGATTAGAGCGTATAGATTCTTGCCTTCTCTTTTTCATCTCTTATTGCAACAACGACAGGGACATTGGGACATAAAAAATGATCCTACCATATTATTAATGAAAATCAAATAACATCAAAAATAACAAATTAGTCTGTTTCTTACCAACAGTGGCGGAATTATAGGTGGACATCCCAGGCTGACCGGCATTCATCGAACCAGTAATGACCGTTTTGCCCATGCCATCTCCCAAAAATACCACATTCTTCTTCTCCAAAGGGACCCGAACCATTTCCTCATAAACCCCGGCCTTAATCCATATAACAAACCGGTTCCCCACCCCAGCATTCTTCGGCACCGCATTCACTGCATCCTGTATCGCTTTATAATGGCACCTGCCGCCATTGCACACCGTAACGTCCGGTTTCAGCCCTTTAGGCACCCCGCCCACGAACTCGGACCCGGAAGAACCCGACCTTCCCTCCCAGAACCCGTCCCGTTCTGTCTTGGGTGGGCCCCAAGACCTGGTTTTCTCTCCAAAATTGTCGTAATTAACCATCATTCCCAATGCATTGCTGCTCAATCTAATCAGAGAATTCAAAAACGCCATCGTTTTACCGATTTGGGACGTGCCGTTCACGTATTTCAAAGCCGACCAGCAGTCATACTGGAACACCAACACCGCGCTCATCCAAGCACGCGCATCCTTGATCTTGCCACGCGGCAGAGCGTCATTTGTCAAAGCCATACGGTACTCCGAATAATGAAGCACCTCCAGGCAAGTTTTCGCTGCGTTCAACCGGTTTTGATTACCTATGGACGCGTCCAGGATTTCCCTTACCATTGATTTCGCCTTCTCGAGATTCTGGGCCGAAACCCACATGGCAGATTGAATCACTTGCAGAATAGTGGCGTCTGGAGGGACGTGATTGGATTGAACCAACGAGGCTTCGCATGTGGGCGGGTAACGCGATGCCTTACAGGCTTCACGAATAATGTTATCAGAAGTGTTCGGAGGGGATAGTTTCACGGCGGGTTTATGGGTCTCCTNACGCGATGCCTTACAGGCTTCACGAATAATGTTATCAGAAGTGTTCGGAGGGGATAGTTTCACGGCGGGTTTATGGGTCTCCTGGCGGCCAGAGACGGAGGAAGAGAGGTAGAAGAAGAGGAGCAAAGAAAGGATCAACGAAAGAAGAGAAGCCATTGAAATGAATATAAATCTCAAATTCCCAGAGTGTTTGAAATTATAAATGGTGGGGATTAACACTGATTGTGGATGGTTTTTTACAGATTTTCTGTGCTGCATCATGACAAATCTTGGAGCGTATTGATTGGGGAGGGAATTGTTTGATATGGGACAAAAGGGGAAGTGAAGTCACGGGGAGGAACAGGATTAGCAGATGGGATAATTATTCAGGTTATTGGAAGTTGAGGTAGTAGCCACCGAGTGAAAAGTTGGGTATTTTTTCTTTTTCCCGTGATAGTGGGGTGGGTTGGAGTGTGGTTTTTTGCTTTGAATGGAGACTGGTACAGGTAATGATACCGAAATGAGGTTTATAATTGAAGCAGCAATTTGATTAATGGGATCGGGGTCTGTGGTGGGGTTGAAGAAGAGGACAAGTATCACATGGGAATGGAAGGGAGGTTCACGGGCAAAATGAGAAATTGATAATTACGGTGCTATTGAATTTTGAGAAATGCTACAATGGGGAAAATTTCACTGTTTGTGAGAGGCCTGAAATTTTTGCCTAGCATTTCTATAGTCAAGTGTATGAAATTTCAAAAATAATGTAATGAACAATGTACAATGTTTGATTCTGAACTCATAGTCCTTGGCACAACATAATTTTCTCCAAATTTGAGACTAGTTACAAGGATGTAATAAAAATATTTGAAGTAGAAAAATTGATTTTAGTTCAGTATCATCTTGTTATCATCTTGTTGATGACAAGATATGTCTCATTAAATCACATCTTAATATAATGAAAGATACTATGGTTGAAACGAGAGTATTAATTTAGCGATACAACATTTGTATATAGAATAAATCGAGACGAGGAAATATAATATAGGGTTGCTTGCTTGTGGTTTTACATGAGAAAATATGTTCATACCACTCCCCTATTTCTCACGTGATATCGTGGCTTTTGTTCGACTTTTAGTATCCTCTTCAAACTTCCACATACTTTCTATAGAGAGTGCATTCACACACAAAAGCTGAAAAAGAGCAAGTCGAGCAATCCTACACGAGGATTATAGAAACTAAAGCAAGAAACAAGAAAGTAAACTTAACAAGAGAGGACACTTCCTACCGTGTTATTAAGTTGGGTGTTTTTTTTTCCTCCTCGGAGAAGCTTCATTTAAATGAAATTGCATGAATACGTTGAATTGGATATAATGAGTAAGCAAGAAATTTGCATGAAAATAAATTGTTTCTATAAATTTTTACATGATATTCAATGTAAATGAATAACCAATGGAAGAAAGTACATAAAATTTCCCAATGTCCTGTCAATTGAGCAAAATAAAAGCATCAAGGTTTATATTACAGTCTATGAAAATAGATATCTGAAAATTGAGGCTTGTTAAGTACCTATTCCTGAAGTCCAAAATAAATCAAGAACAAGTTCTTGAACCACCTTCCTCTGTCGCATAAAAACTTCAGGATGGTCTCGGATCGAAATCGATGAGCTTCGATGATGGTCGAAGTATGATATGTGTTTTCTTCAAGCCCTTGCTGTTACCGAATTCCGTGTCCCTCCAATAAATGTACCAACCCTCTCTCCCCTAATTGCTTTCGAGATGTTCCCCGGTTTGTTGAGATTAAAGACGACAACTGTATCACGTAATGTTAGAACAAACAGCTCATCAGCTTTCAGGAAAGGGAAGCAGTTATGAGCAATGTTATTAGGATTCAGCCTCAACATTGACCCTAAAATGATCGAGTGTCAAGGATCAAAAAAAAATATATGAGTTTATTTTTCATCAATGTAAAAACAAACATATAGTAATGATCAAACATATATTTATAATAAAATATGTTAAGGCTGAACCGCTCATGAGAAGAATTTTTTCCTTGTTTCTAAAATAAGAAAAAATGCAACCAGGAAGCCCTGTCAACCCATGGCCTGTTCAAATAGTTAGGCTCATCGGGTTTCATCTGGTTATAGCTATAACCAGACTGTTATTCGGGACAGTTTTCAAAACATTGATTATGAGTGATACCAATAGGGGATACTTTATCAAAATATACAAATAATACCTTTTCAATTTATTTTCCTACCAACTCTAGGAACAGGGGTAAAAGGAACTTATTTTCTTCTTACCAGGAATGTTGTTCTCTTGGCACAAAGTTATGGCAGTCATGTCCATAACTGAAAGTTCCTTCGAAGTTACATCGTGATAAGTTAGAGTCTCGAGGAGACGAGCATTAGGATTACGCCTTGGGTCGTCATCATAAACTACATCAACATTTGTAGCCTTTAGGACCACCTCAGCATTAACTTTTTACAACATTTCAAAGTTCAGTTTTAGTAAGAAAATCTAATACTCAATGGAAAATTGATTGCGACTCAAGAATAACGATGTAAACAAAAACATAAATACAAGCCACATAATAATCAAAAAACTAGGAAATGCTATAGAGTGATTTCAAGATCCTTGTAAAGTAATAAGGTAAGTTGTAACGGTTATTAGACCAGAGATGCTTATCATGATGAGTGTGAGTTGTTAAAAAGAAAAACTATGACATGAATGTCACACGAATGAAGATTGTGGGCATTTATGACAATACTAGACTGGATGAAGTCTGTTAAGTGGAAATGAAACTAATCGATGATAAATTTAAGGGAAAAATAACTCACATAGTTTAAGGCATGTTTGTGTAGACCTAAAGAATCTTCCATTCATGACAAAATTGCAATTAATGTCTAACAGGTAAGAAGACGGGAAGCAAACTAAAATAGACATGGCCTAATTATGTTATACAAGATTTGATTTCATCGGACCTCTTGTTAGATATAACGGGTGATCAGAGAGATACACGAACCCAGTATATTACAAGAGGGGAAGCAAACTAAAATAAACATGGCCTAATGTTGAACCTTTTTTTTTTTTGCTTATGAGCTTCCATACTCTCTCTCTCTCTCTCTCTCTCTCTCTCTCTCTCTCTCTCTCTATGTAAGCATATAAGCCACCCTAAGACCCTAAGATGCATGTCATGCAGGATTTGATTCTATCGGAACTCTCAGTAAATGGTTCAAAGAAATTGTCAAAATACGGTTTATGCAGCCAAGCTCGTATTTGAATAACAGGCATAGTTTTTGGGGGTGGTTGTTACTGAGTCAGCTTGTCAAGTTGCTTCAAAACCTTCACCTCAAATATCTTTAACTTTTCCACTTGAGCTTATTTCCCTAGGAGAAAGCTTTCTGAGGTCTCTAGACCATTTCTGGTGCATGTATTCTGAAGGATTTGAGTATGAACCCCTCTAATGTTCATGTATATGGAAGTTTACCATGATATGAAAATAATGTTATCAATTATCATAAAGATACATGACTTCGAACTCACTTTCTGCACTCCGAAGGGCTGCAGCAGTATCTGTTGTGAAGAAGGCATTTCCAGTTCCTGCTGCAAAAATCACAACCCTTCCTTTTTCTAGATGCCGAACAGCCCTTCTACGTATGTATGGTTCAGCAACTTCCGACATACGAAATGCTGTCTGAACTCTTGTTGGAATGCCTATGCTCTCCATTGTTGCTTGTAAAAATATGGCATTCATTACAGTTGCTAACATCCTAAACAATGATTTGGTAGAAACTTCAGTCATTGGAACAATCTAGCAATGTAATTTAGGCCAAAGGCTTGAGTCAAAATATCAAGAATCGACTTCACAAAATTCTTATCTTAAACAAACCTAAATTCACATAATAATAATAATAATAATAATAATAATAATAATAATAATAATAATAATTTAAGGCAACTTGAAAATATGTTTTCTTAAAAAGTTAAAATTAAAAGTATGGTGTTGATTCAGCATATATAAACATGGACATGTATTGCATGAAAAGTATTTTCCAAAAGCATAATCAAGATGACAACTACAAAATAATTCGCACGATTAACTAAACACATCAAATTTATTAAAGAAAGTACCCAATATAATCAGCAGATGAACGGTCAAGGCCACTACATCCTGCCCAGGAAGATCCACGAAAAATATTTCCTCCACCAACAACTATGGCAACCTGAAAGATTGGTGAATCACTGTTCAAAGAAAAAGTTTGCAAATAGAAAGCTTCTCATTTCTGACTTCAAGATCACAGATATGTTTTCATCATATCATATCATCATTTATCAAATAGTACAAATTTCAAAATCCGATCATGTTTGCGGACGAGATAAATAAGACGTTCTCACAATAAGGACAAACAAAAGTCCCGAATCGGACCCGAACCGAACCGAACCAATTTGGTTCATTTTAGATTAAATTAGGCAATAGGTATTAGAATTGAGAATTGACACGTTTGGTTTCATTCTCGGGTCTAAACCAAAAAACCTAAATGAAGAATAGACCCTCCATTTTTACTGCCACAGATTCACTAAAATTGTGCGCTCGGTTCAATTCTTCTTAGATTAAATTGGGTAATGGGTATTAGAATCAAGAACTAACATTTAATTTCATTTTGTTCTAGACCAAACCAAATCGAGGAATCAACCTACATTTTTTTTTACCACCACAGATTTACTAAAATGTGTACAACTTGATCTACCAATCATGAAACTCCATGATTTTAAATATGTGAGCTAATTAGCATGTAAGGCCATGTTCTCCAATTGAAATTATCTCAACATTCTAAATACAGTCGCAGCAATAATTCAAAATATAGACAGATTCTCAAAAAAAAAAGAACTAGAAATACTCAAAAAATAATTTCATGTGAATAAAATCTTCAAAATCATTATGATTACATGTGATTCATCAAAGATCACTAGTAATACCATAGAGTTTATTTTATTTCTGTTACTTTTAATTTATGTTTCATTTTTTCACGTAAATTTGAATGCATGAAAGATGGAATCAACGAGATGAAAAGAAAAATCACCTATTTTTGTGTTATTATTTACTTTTCGGTCGTTTGAATACATTAGTGAATGGATATTATTAAACTTCTGGTGTTTTTATATATTTGTTATTTTGTAATAGAACCTATCATTTTTAAAATTATGTTGCGATATTTTAAATATCCAAAAAAATATTTATTGTACGGAAACAAATCGAATCGAATGGTTGGGTTCCATAATTAAATTTGGACTCAACAGTTCCTTTTACAAGATACTGGAGGATTCTTGGTTTGGTTCTCTTTGGAACCGACCGATCCAAGCCATGCCCACACCGACCCACACTTAATATTGATGTCGAAAATTTACCTTAATCATCTACATTGTCACTTAATTTCCTGTGGAGCTAAAAATTCATTTTAGAATATCTAGAACCGCACGTAAATATCACTAGCACGGGGTATTTATCTTTGAATGATGACATTCGACCATCCAATTTCACGATGGAAAGAAAGAAATTAAATAGCCAATCTAAAACAATAAAATCTGACATCTTTCTCCTTTGTGGCTACCTAAGAACTGTTAGGTTTAATGCTTCAAAATTGGGGTGAGATCTTCGAAGATCACTTTTGACTTGAATTTTTGAAAAAAAATCAAATTACATCTAAGATTTTTTTCTTTTACGCGGTTTAACCTAATTCTAGTATATTTTCTTACCTTCTAGGACTCCATTAGATTTATGGACGTGGCCTATAAATTAGAGACTCCTTTATCAGTTTTAAATGAAGCATTATTGCTATCCTGTATTATTCTCTCCATATTGTCGGTTTAATAAATTTCATCGTTCCTCTGCTTGGTTTCTCTTTTTCTACTTTACTTTAACCTTATTTTCGTGGTGCGATCTTGAATATTTCACTATTGTCATTAAATCTCAATCTTGCGTCGCCTTTGGGATCAACAAGTGGTATTAGAGCACGGATTGCAAGTTCATCGTGATTTGGTTGAGATTTTTCAAGAACGAATTCGTTGAAGTATGAAATTCAGCTGCTGGATCACAATACAAGATTTTCTTTGTGGCAAGTAAAGATGATGGTTATTTTGACGCAGTTGGATTTGGACGATGCGTTGCTGGGTTTTGAGAAGATGCCAGCTGATTGGACAATGAAGGAGAAACAACGAAAGGATCGAAAGGTTGTGTCGTTGATTCATCTTCATTTATCCAACAATATTTTGCAGGATGTCTTGAAGGAGAAGACGGCTGCTGCTTTGTGATTGAGACTAGAGCAGTTATGTATAACTAAAAGTCTTGCTAGTAAACTGACTCTTAAGCAAAAGTTGTATTCCCATCACATGGCGGAAGGAGGATTGTTGGAATATCACATCGCCGTGTTCAAGGAAATAGTTGCAGATCTGGAGACGTTGGAGGTTAAGTACGATGAAGAGGATATTGCCTTGATCCTGTTGTGTTCGCTGCCCGAGTCTTATGTGTCGTTTCGGGATACTATCTTGTATAGTCGAAATACTTTAACTATAGAAGATGTCTATAATGCTTTGCACTCAAAGGAGAAAATAAAGTATTTGGTTGAAGCTACATTAAGGGATGGGAAAGCTCTTGTATCTCAAGGTGGTCCACAAAAAGGCAGATCGAAAGTTATATTTAGCAATGTGACCTGTTACTACTGCAAAAGGAAGGGACATATTCGGAATGATTGCGATATGTTGCAGGCTAAAGGTGATTTATCTATAAATTGTGGGGTGCAACCTTTGAATTCAAATGAAACCAATATAGTTGAGAATTGTTCAGGTAGCGAAGAGGTAATGTTGACCGTAGTATCTAATGTGGAGTCTAGGCCTGATGAGGAGTGAATTCTTGATTCAGTATGTTTGTACCATATGTGTTCCAATCGAAATTTATTTCAGACATATAAGGCTGTTCGGCAAGGTGGAGTTGTAATGAAAAACAACCAATCTTGTCGTATTGTTGGGATCGGTCGAGTCAAATTGAGGCTGCGGGATGGAACATTTAGAACAATTGATCAAGTTCGACATGTTCCTAACCTGAAAAAGAATCTCATTTCGCTAAGTACCCTGGATGCAAAAGGGTATAAATTCTCTGGAGGAGGTGAAGTCTTAAAGTTTCGAAAGGGAGTCCGAGTTAAACTGGAGGGATGAAAAATATTCCAGTTGTACATTTTGCAGGGTAGTGTAGAACCAATTAAGAGGAGACATTTGGACAAGTTTAGTACCGTAGTGGAAGTTCAGTTTGGTACAGTACCTCTTGTATTGAGCTCTGAGTCGATTCAGAAAACTGCTAGGGAGAGTGTTGGTGATTCCACTTTGCCACCAATTTCAACGAGTACACTGTATTCAGCTGCTAGAGTAGGACTCATCGAGCGTAGGTACAGTAGTGTCAGCAATGTCTGGGATACTTCTAAGGACATTGAAGACGACAGTTCCAACAAGAGGCCTTCTGATCAAGTATCTGATTTGGTTCTTACTACAGGGTGTGCTTCTACCCTATGTGATCAACATTAATTCCTTAGTGGAATTGGAAACCCCGGGGATTGGATTCGAATGTCAGTTGTGGACGCGGGGCAAAGGACGAGTGTTTGGTTTATATGGAATGGTTACTGTGTTGATTAGATTCAGCCAATTCATTTCGTTGCAAACGAATTTGAAATCTAGGAGTTTCGTTCGTAGCACCGAAATTTGAGTCAAGGTGGAGATTATTAGGAGTATGACTCAAATAGAACTCTTTTGAAGAGACATATTCGACTTGGACTAGGAGAATATTAACCTAGAGCTTAAAAAAACTAAGTTGAATAAGAAAACAAAATCCTCTTAAAATTGGATCTCCTAATTGTAATATATTTTCTTGCCTTTTAGGACTCTTTTAGGGTTGACCTATAAATACGAGGCTCCTCTGATCAGTTTATAGAGAAAGTAACATAGAAACAGTATTGCTAGTCTATCTTGTATTCTTCATACTATTGAATTAATAAACATCGGTCATCTGCATTTATCCTTTATGTTCTTTCTTTACAAATTCAATCTTGTGTTTTCGTGGTGTGATATAGTATACTTCAATATTGTCATTAAATCTCGTTCTTTATAATCCGATTTGGAATCAACTATGTTATTGGAGCTTTCACCTCCAACAAGAGCATCTTCAATTATGGTGTAAAATCGGGTGCAAATTGGTATGTTCAAAATCACTTTTGTATCCTCATTTACATCGTGTTGAATCTAAATTTAAATTTTGATCCAATGAAAAATCTAAATCTATTTTTTGCCTCTTGTGGATGTAAAAGCAAATGTAAATTCATTTTCTGCCGGAAAATGCAATTTCCATTTCCTTTGCATTTCTCCTTTGAAGAAGTTTCCGCTCCCTTTGGATATATAAATCACAATTTAGATCTATTTTACACAATGATTGGAGATGCTCTAATCAAGCAATTTTACGATTATGAAGGGTAGACTTTTCAAACAAATGTATAGGCAAACCTACCTCAATTCCAAGACGAGTCACAGATGCAACCTCCCTTGCAATAGCCATTGTGATCTATTTGATAAAAATTTGATTACAATTCAAAGAA